GCTTCTACTGCCACAGTCAAGGGCCACAGTGCCAAGGACTGCCGCAAGAAGTGGCTGCACGACAAGGGGGTGGGAGACCGAACCAGGGAGGATCTGGGAAGGACGACTTCCGCGCCAGAATCAAGACACTCTCCGCCGACGAGAAGCGGGAGCTGTACGAAGAACTTACAATGGAGGATTTTTGAAGGGGCAGGGTGAGCCGACGCAACCACTGCCCGTATCCGTTTCACTGTCCCGTGTAATTCTAGTAGTCCGAAATGAATGCGCTCTGCACATTTCGATTACTGTGGGACGAAAAGACATCGAGGCGCGCACTTTCATCAATAGCGGCGCAACAGGAATCTTCATCAGCCCGAGATTCGTCCAAGAGCATCGACTTCGGACAGAACCTCTTCCCCGACCCATCCCCGTCTTCAACGTGGATGGAACTCCAAACAAAGAAGCACTCATCATGCAAAGAGCTCTCTTATCTTACAAGATAAGCGGAGAACCCCGATTTGTCAAAGCCTACGTCACCAGCATCGGCAAGGAAGACATCATCTTCGGCCATACCTGGCTCAAGCTCGAAAACCCCAAGATAGACTGGAAGACCGGACGAGTTGAGCTAAACCACCGGTGGACGAAAGACGAGACCAGGGCCTGGAAGATGGACCTGTACCAAAGGCGAGTGGCTCGGCTAGAACTGAAGAAGGCCGTAACTACCCCACTCCCAGAACCAACAGAGGATGAATTCGTCGTCATCTCCACCTCGGAGCATGCAACCCTCCCCGAACGAAAGACTAGCGGTGCAGCAGGATATGACATCTCTGCTGCGTATCAACTCATCATCCCTGCCCGACGACAAGGCCTGGTTAGCACCGATCTTATCATGGCTATCCCCAAAGGACACTACGGAAGAATCACACCTCGGTCCAGTCTAGCGCTAAAAGAAATCGATGTCGCTGCAGGAGTAATCGACTCCGATTACCGAGGCAAGGTCTCAGTCCTGCTGATCAATAACTCTGACCTCCCATTCACTGTCAAAACCGGCGACCGAGTTGCTCAGCTCATCCTTGAAAGGATAAGCACCCCACCAGTAATGCTAACCGACTGCATCGACGAAACAGAACACGGGGAGGATGGGTTTGGGTCAACAGGTATTGCGTCCATCGAAGAACAAGCAGAGGACATCGACGATGATGAGTTCATCATTTCCTACTTATCAGGAACACCGATGATCACCAAGTACGAGAAACAGGAATCCCTGGCAGTAAGAGATGTCCCGCTCAATGAGCGACTCCCTGAACTCTCGTCCGGCTACAAATGACTCCACAATGGCATGATCTGGAAGATCCACCACGTCATTAGGTGAGTCACAACATCCACTGAACTTGCGGCCTCAAACGCCCAAGGCAAGACAGAAAAAACGCTACCACAGATGGTACCATCCTACCTACACGATCTCCTCCCCGTCTTCGACAAAGGCACTGCTGCGCGACTTCCAGACCACACCAAATATGACCACGAAATCAACCTCAAGGAGGGCTTTGCGGACATGAAGCAACAGGTCTATCCGCTCAACCCACAACAGCGAAAGGAACTCGACAAGTTTCTCGAGGAGAACCTGAGTAAAGGGTACATTCGCCCTTCGAAATCCCTGTTGGCGAGTCCATTCTTCTTTGTCGGTAAAAAGGACGGTTCACTACGTCCCTGTCAAGACTACCGGCTGCTCAACGAGAACACGGTCAAGGATCGATACCCGCTCCCGCTTATATCGGACCTCCTCGACAAGTTGAAGCACGCCAAGATGTTCACGAAGATGGACCTCCACGCCGGATACAACAACGTCCGAATCAAGAAAGGGGACAAATGGAAGGCAGCATTCATCGTACCCGGAACTGATGGCAAACCGCCGCAGCTGTACGAACCAACGGTGATGTTCTTTGGGCTGTGTAATTCCCCCGCTACGTTCCAGCGGATGATGAACACTATATTCGCAGACATGCTTCAAGAAGGCTGGCTTTGCATCTACATGGACGACATCCTGATATTTTCCCAGGACAAGGCAGAACATGAGGAACGAACACGACATGTTATCGAATGACTTCGACAACACGACCTCTACCTCAAACCGGAGAAATGCGCCTTTGATGTCACCAAAGTCGAATTCCTCGGCATGATCATCCGTCCAGGAGAAATTGCAATGGACCCTGTCAAACTAGCTGGCATCACAGAGTGGCCAGTGCCGTCCAACCTCAGGCAAGTATGCGCCTTCGTTGGATTTGGAAACTTTTACCGCCGGTTCATCAAAGGCTTCTCGGACAAAGCGCAACCGCTGGTTGCTCTCACCCAGAAGGATGTCACCTGGACCTGGGGATCTGACCAACAGAAAGCCTTCGAAACCCTCAAGAAGGCATTCCTAGAAGAACCGGTACTATGCATGCCGGATCCCAATCGACCCTTCGCTATCGAAACCAACGCCTCCAAGTTTGCAACCGGAGCAGTACTACGCCAGCACGACGACAACGGCGACTGGCATCCTTGCGGATACCTCTCTCAAAGCTTCAATGCAGCAGAGAGAAACTACGACGTCTACGACAGGGAGTTATATGCGGTCATCCGCGCACTAGATGAGTGGAAGCACTACCTCATCGGCAGCCCATACCCAGTGACGATTCTCAGCGACCACAAGAACCTCACATATTGGAAACAAGCCAAAGACATGAACCGACGACAAGCACGCTGGGCAAGTAAACTGACCGAATTTGACTTCTGCCTGGTACACGTTCCTAATACCCAAATGGTGCAAAGCGACTCTCTCTCCCGCCGACCCGACCATGACGACGGCTCTAATGACAACACCGACGTCGTTATGCTCCCACCGGAAGTATGGGTCGCTGCCATCGACATCGACACCCGCGACACCATCCTTTCCTTTAAGGACAACCCAATAATAAAGGAAGGCCTCACTGCGGCGCACACTGGAGGAACACCATGCACTGGAACAGACTGGTCCATCAATGATGACCTCCTCCTATACCAGGATCGGGTCTATGTACCCCCAGATGAGTCTCTTCGCAAACATCTTGTCTCCCACTATCACGACCTCCCCTCTGCAGGACACCCCGGTGTTCAGAAAACCCTCCTCGGCTTGCGCCGTGACTACTGGTGGCCGAGCATGGCCCAGTTTGTTGCCCGCTATGTTAACGGCTGTGGCATCTGCCAGCAAATGAAGGTTAACACGCATCCAGCCCGTCCGCCCATCACCCCCATTCAACCCCGCGCAAATGCCAAGCCCTTCAGCACATTCTCGTGCGATTACATCACTGACTTGCCACCGTCCAACGGCTTCAATTCAATTCTGGTTGTAGTGGACCACGACCTTACGAAGGGGGTAATTTTCATCCCATGCAACAAAACAATTGATGCTCTTGGGACGGCAGACACAATGTACCGAGAGGTCTACAAGTGGTTTGGACTCCCAGACAAGATCATCAGTGACCGAGGACCACAATTTGCGTCCAAAGTCTTCCAGGAACTTTGCAAAATGACTGGGATTCAATTGGCCATGAGTACGGCATTCCACCTACAGACCGATGGCGAGACAGAACGAGTAAACCAAGAGCTGGAGATCTACCTCCGCTGCTTCACTACCAATGATCCGGATAAGTGGGCTGACCATCTTCACACCGTGCAATTTGCTCACAACTCCCGCGAGCATTCCACGACGAAGACGTCCCCATTCAAACTCATGATGGGATACGAACCTCGTGGAATACCCGCCACGCACCCTGGATCAAACACGCCGCAAGCAGCTTATCGCCTCAAGGACTTGCAAAACATCCGCGAAGAAGCACATGCGGCAATGGAGATGGCCCAGAATATCCTGGCCAAGAGAGTAAAAAGGAAGGGGGGTTCCTTCCGTAAAGGTCAGCTGGTATGGCTAGACTCCCAGAACTTGAAGCTGCCATACCTGTCCAGGAAACTAGCCCCAAGGCAAGAAGGGCCATTCAAAGTCCTAGACAAGATCGAAACTGATACAACGGTCTATACTCCTATATCGATGCCTGACTCGTAGACGACGAGCGAGGGCTTATGGACAGTACGTTGTCCTAAAGATCGAGCGAGGAAGTCGAGAATGACCACTACCCCAAGCGAGGAGGAGCAGAGACTTGAATGAATAACCAGGTCGAACTTAGGGTTCGACCGACTAATGGTACAACTACTTATACAAGTACTGACTGCGCACGGACTGTCGTGTCTATGTGGTTGTGTTAGTGAAGAAAGAAACGTAGTGGTACGATGCCGAGTACGAAGTGCGCACGGACCCCATTATATAAGCTACATAATGTTCAACCTGCGGGTGAGCGCTAAGACAGGCGCCAGTATGGGCGCTAGTAGTACAAGAAATAGAACGGAAAGACAAATGTTTTAGAAACGGTCACATACAAGCTAGACCTCCCTAGCACCTGGCAAGTCCACCCCGTTTTCCACAAATGGCTTCTATCTCCCTACTCAGAAACAGAGATCCATGGTCCGAACTACACGAGGCCACCTCCTGACCTTATCGAAGGCAAAAATAACTACAAAGTCAAAGCCATCATCGGACACCAAGAGAACAAGAGGATGCGGTGCCACGAATATCGCATCAGGTGGAAAGGTTACTCAACTGCAGATGACTCATGGGAACCCGAAGCAAACCTGACAGGGACTGCGGATGAAGTGCTAACAGAGTATAAGAAGAGGAAAAACTTGAACCGAGCCGACAGCAGCTCAACCCAGTTGCTACACCCCTACTTGTACCAACATGTCCTCCACCCTCCCGTTCCTCGACCAGTTCAATGCCCCCTCAACTGAGGGTGGAAAGAGGATTTCAATTTACACCCCTAAGCACACCCATGTTGGCGATAGCACTTTGCTGACACTACTTCTCAGTAACCCCACCGACGTCTTCAATAAACTCAAAACCCACCACCCTGAGGTAACCAATGCCACTGACTGCGCTGCACTAGAAGTGTACCTCTCTGCCCACCGCAAATACGATGAGGCTGTCAAGGCAGCCGATGAGGCCATCGACCACCACAAGTGGCTTCTACGTCAACAGGACAACTGTGTCCTCACTGAGCTCATTCGACTCGACAATCTGAAAGTTGCCCATCGCTTTCAACCGCTCCTACCGCGCAGCATCCGGGCGCGACACAACAAATTCATCCCGTGCACCATCCCCAACGTGTACCTACCCCTACCCACACCCCTACCGGCATCTGCCTTCAGGCGCCCCCCAATCCCGTCCCCTTTTCTCCAAGCAATGCCGCGGAGCACTACCATCCCGGCTGACTGGCAACCCAACCCTGGTTGGACCCCGAAGGGAAGCTGTAGGCAATGCGGATTGTCTCGACACTGGGTACGGGACTGTCCGGACATACGATGCGCAAGATGCAGAAAAGAAGCCCCTGGACACCTGGAGCGAGAATGCGGAACCAGGCCGATGAAGCGACACGTATCCGCACCACCTGAAGAACCTGCGCGACGCGTGGGGGTGGTCGTCGACAACGTGTTCCTTGAGGGAATCATCAACGAGGCGAAGGAGAGGAAGGAAAGAGAGAGGCAGACGAAGGCGGTACCCATCCCCCCACCGCGCAGCGCTAACCCCGAACCCCAGGCTAGTCCCATTGCGGGATCCTCACGCCCTCGCCCTGATACACCCGTCGTCTTTCGCAAAGTCGACCCCGATTGGACACCCGACACTACTCAATGGACATAGGACAGCTCCTGGCCGTGTCAGGAGCACCTCTCTGGCGAGGAATGGAAGAACGTGGGGAGGAACGCGCGCAACGAGTGGTTCGATGAATAGGAGGACGACAGCGTAGACTGGGAGTTGTATGGAGATGGTGAGCAGTAAGTAGTCGAATGGGACTTCAACTCTGGTAGGGGGGTAATGAAACATTTATCTTTCCGTTCTATCTCTTGTACTACTAGTGTCCATACTGGCGCCTGTCTGAGCGCTCACCCGCAGGTTGAACATTATGTAGCTTACATAATGGGGTCTGTATGCACTTCATACCTGGTATTGTACCACTATGTTTCTTTCTTTACTAACATGACCACACAGATACAGTGGTCCGTGCGTAGACGGTACCTGTATAAATAGTTGTACCATTAGTCGGTCGAACCCTAAGTTCGACCTGGTTATTCATTCAAGTCTCTGCTCCTCCTCGCTTGGGGTAGTGATCATTCTCGACTTCCTCGCTCGATCTTTAGGACAACGTACTGTCCATAAGCCCTCACTCATCGTCTATGAGTCAGGCATCAATATAGGAGTATAAACTGTTGTATCAGAGATAGAATTGCAAAGATTTAGGAGTGGTTGATGGAAACATGTATGGCCATGCTGCTCGAGTATTGAAAACTATGTGCCATGAATGCACAGGCTTCTCAGGTGTGCTGGATGCATCTAAGATGAGCAAATGAAGCTGACATGATGGTTCTGCACAGCTAATCATCCCTGAGATGTTCCACACATTGCCACTGTACTAGTGTCTCCAAAGTTCAGTCCAGGAATGGGTTTGAACCATCTGAACCTTGAACCGTACCTGCGGTTCAGGTTCAGTTAAGCTCAGTCCATGGATTTCCCCAAAGGTTTGGTTCAAGGTTCACAGCCATTGAGGACCAGTACGAACCATGAACTGGACTCAAGTCTCAATGCTCACAAAAATGTACTTAATCAAGTTTGAGGTACTATTTTACATTATTTTAAATGACAGACAATGTCATGATCTTTCCACAGGGCCAGCATGCGCTGCTCCCTGAATAGTGACATGATGCATACCCTACCATCCATCAGGGAATGCCATCCCCTGCCAAAATAGACAGGCTTACATAAGCTGAAGTCAGTAAATGCGACACCTATTACAGTGTTGCACCTCGCATCTCCTTCTCAGACACTGTCACAAGTTGGTATGATGTCTAGTCATTTCTAATTTTTTTCCTTTTTGCAGGCTCGAACTCATGACCTCTGTACTATACGCTCGAACAGACAAGTCATTATCTACTGTATGATTAGATTAGATAGGATGGCAGTGCACAGCACAGCCCGGGCTCCACTGACACAGCCACTATGACTCACTGGCCCCTGGGGCTGCATCAGCAGGCTGCGCATGGACCAGCTGTGCACAGACCAGTGCGCACAGCCTCCCCTAAACTTCCCCTGTATATAAGCTGGCCTCTGCTGCCCTAGGGACCTCAGTTTTGACCTCTTGTCCCTGGGTCAGTAAGCCTTCATTTGTATTCTCTCCTTACTTCACTAACTAATATATTATCTTGTTCCTAGCCTTAGGTTTGAGCTCGCTCACCATTGCTTTGGTCAACCTAGTCAAACACCCCCAGCTTTTGGTCTGTTCCATCTCTGTTGCTTGACCCCAAGTCGTGACAGACACTGAGTCTCTTGTTTGTTTATGTGTTATACTTATAGTATGACTCCAAAATTCAAAACTAACATCTTTTCTATGACCATTTGAGATCTGAAGGTTCACCAGGTTCAAACCCACTCTGAACTTGCTGAACCCATTCAGTGGGTTCAGTCCAAGGTTTAGTCCAGTTCAGACTAGTGGTATGTAGGTTTGGTTCAAGGTTCAGGGCAAGAGGCCCCTGAACCAAGCTAAACCAAACTTCAGAGATGCTATACTGTACACATTGGCCATCTCTAAAACTAAGTCATTGAAAGGCTTGTTTACAATATTATGCATGCATGCTTTTATTTGATGCATGTTACATCAGAGTGAAACAGTACATAACTATCATTCACACAAGGTCTGGGGCATGAGTGTGCATGCAATCATCCAGCATCTCTATCCCAGGCTACTCACACTCCACAACCTCGACAACACCATTGTGCTACCCAACATGAACACAGGATGCATTAGGTAACCTAACCTAAGTGCAACAGCTATGTCTTCATGGTGTCACGAGTTGGCACGGTGTCTAGCCGTCTTTTAATTTTTTCCTTTTCGCAGGCTCGAACCCGCGACCTCTGTACTACACGGCCAGAAGATCCGTATAAACTGGGTTTAACCGCTGACAAGCTGCACGTCGGTCAAAGTGCTTTGCACCCTGTGCAAACCACGACAGTTTATGCCTGGTGCAACCACTCACACGCTTGCCCCGCGGGCAAATTCGTTCAACCCCCGTGCAAAGCAGATTTCTGCTCACGTGATACAAGCACGGTCTCCCAGGGTCCCATTGACCATATTGTCGCGCGAGAACATACAGAGAATGGCTAGTCGCAGATGTAATTGCTTAATTATGTACATATACATTCAACTCCTAAGATACCAGACTGTAGCTTCTAAGAGAAAGCAATACAAAAATAACAAGTAACTCACCGAACTCTGCAGATGGTTCAGAATGAAGCAGAAGGTGAGCTGGCATATGGATCTAAGGCAGAAAAGGTCAGAATAACAGGCTCCTGATCATAAGATCAGGGTACTGGTACATTCACCAGGAGCACGGGGCTCAAAATACATGCAAGACAATATTGAGACATTTGAGACGTGGGTGGGCAAGATGAAAAACTTCTCAGATTTGTCGTGCATGCCTTGTCGTGTCTTGTGCAAGTCACATGATATGCAGTGTTTGCCCGCGGGTTAAACTGCGATATGGGTAGCTGCTGGTCACCCGTGCATGCCAGCCGTAGGTCAAATCGATAGATTTGCACGAGGATCAAGCAATTTTGACCGGGGTGCAAACTTGACATTTGTCCCCCGGGCATCTGCAGGCCGTTCAAACGTAGGCTAAAGTATCTTCTGGCCGTGTACATACCCGATATGGACGCATCACTACCTACTGTACGATTAGATTAGATGGGGCGGCAGTGCGCGGCACAGCTCGGGCTCCGCTGACGCAGCCGCTGTGACTCACCGGCCCCCAGGGCCGCATCAGCATGCTGCGCACGGACCAGCTGCGCACGGACCAATGCGCACAGCCTCCCCTAAACTTCCCCTGTATATAAGCCGGCCTCTGCTGCCCTAGGGACCTCAGTTTCGACCTCTTGTCCCTAGGTCAGTAAGCCTTCAGTTGTATTCCTTTTTCCTTACCTAACTAATATACTATCTTGTCCCTAGCCTTAGGTTTGAGCATCGCTCACCATCGCTTCGGTGAGAATCAGTCGGACGCCCCCAGCTTTTAGGTTTTCCCCTGTCGCTTGACCTCAAGTCGCGACATTAGGTCGAAACTCCCCATAGCTGCCGGCGTTCCATCGGGACTCCCACAACTCACATTCCCTTCCTATAGGTTGGGTGGTGCGCACCCTTACTGTACCCTACGATACCTAGATAGCGTACTATACATCGCCACCGCTCAGGGAACGAACCTTTCAACACCTGCACTTCAGTGGGCGGTGTTTGTCCTAACGGACGCGTGGACTAGGTTCCTGCTGCATAATAATCAAAAGCAGTACTGGGCCCCACGTGAATCGTGAACCCTAGCGTTACCTCGGGCGCCGTAGGTGTAAGCTAGCTTAGCACGGCCTTTTGTAGCATGCGCACCTTCCCTTCCTTCCCCCATCGTGGCTGCGTGTCAAGGCCTTGTTCACACCTTCGACTCCAAGGACCTCATCGACGTCTACATCACTGACGGTCCCACCACTCTCATCTTCGCCTGCGAGACACAACCGTGCCCTAATCGCACACCTCGATCGATCGAGCAGGATTATGAGCGCTATAAGGCCATCAGAAAGGCCCAACACCCGCTCGGTCCCCGCAGTACCCACGCCTCTCGATCTGCGTCCCGGCAC